AGTATTTGAAATCATAGGCAAAAATTTGAAAGATTTGTAGGTGTGCACAGGGGTGGTTGTAAAAGTCCACAACTTTTACAAATATCTAAAAGGGTCAATGACACAATAAGGAAATAGTAACATTCCACTCTAATAATCTCTATGATTCTGTGATCAGTTACTGAATAGCTATGAAGTTTTGTTTTCAATATGTATGAAGTTAATTTCGTCCTGTCTCCTCCAACAAGTGATGTTATAGGAAGCAAATGAGATAATGTGTGAGAAAATATTCAGCAACACTACTGTAGACAGCACTTAGTATGTGTCAGGCACATATTTAAGAACTTAGTGCATTTTCTTTCACTTAATCTTTACAATTATATGAAAGGAGAATTGTCTATTCCTCAATTTTACATAGAAGAAAACAAGTATAGACAGATCAAGAAATTTGCTCAAAGTCACACAGCTTGAAACGATTCATTCTGATTTCAAAGTGTGAGTTCTTTGCTGTAATGCTTCTCTAATGGCTTTGTAAAACATTAAAACATCATACACTGCTGGTGGGACTGCAAATTGGTACAGCCAATCTGGAAAGTAGTATGGAGATTCCTTGGAAAACCAGGAATGAAACCACCATTTGACCCAGCTATCCCACTCCTCGGTTTATACCTAAAGGACTTAAAAACAGCATACTACAGGGACACAGCCACATCAATGTTTACAGCAGCACAATTCACAATAGCTAAACTGTGGAACCAACCTAGATGCCCTTCAGTATGCGAATGGATAGGGAAACTTTGGTATATATACACATTGGAAAATTACTCAGCATTAAAAGAGAATAAAGTCATGCCATTTGCAGGTAAATGGGTGAAGTTGGAGAACTTAAGTGAAGCAAGCCAATCCCCCCAAGTCAAAGGCTGAATGTTTTCTTTGATATGAGGATGCAGATGCATAATGGAGATGGGGGCGACATGGGAGGAATGGAGGGACTTTAGGTAGGGCAAGGAGAGGGAGGGAAAAGGAGGGAACAAGGGTATAGGAATGATGGTGGAATGAGTTAGTCATCATTATCCTAAGTACATGTATAAGACAAAAATGGTGTGAAAATACTTTGTGCACAACCAGTGTCTTGAAAAATTGTGCTCTATATGTGTAATATGAAATGAATTGCATTCTGCCATCATGTGTAACAAATCAGAATAAAAAATAAAATATAAAATAAACGAGCAAAAAATCACATTAAAATATGAACTAACTCATGAATAATGGTCAATAGAGAAATTCTAAAGATGGAAAAGTTAAAATTTTCAGTTAAAATTTTCTTTAAGGTAGTGATTGCCGTGGGTGTTGGGATGCCAGCTTTGGGGAGCCTTCAAAAGCTCTAGGGGAGACACAAACGTAGGCATGAAGCCTTTCAGTTTTGCCAGTCTTCAGATTTGATGTGCCCATACTCAAATTGGTAAGGAACGTTGGCTTCAAGCTAATTAAACAATCGCATACTGCTTCAGCCAGGCTAGCCTTAATGTGCTTGGCTAGGCTGAGCCAAGAAGGGCCCAGTGATTTTCTCCCTCATCCTGAAGTGTTTGTTCAGTGTGGCAGCTTTGGCTGATTTTTGATGAAGGGCATATGGAGTGTGGGCACAGCCATGGTTCCCAAGAGTGAGCCTTGAGGCTTGGAGCATCAGAGAGCTTGGAAAGGTGTTTGCTGGAGCAGTAAATATCTATATTTGCTATACTGTGCTCCCTCTTTTCCTGACCCGGCAGCATGCACTGTTTCAGCTGTGGACTGCTAGTGTCTAGAAGAGATATAGAGCAAGAAGAATGGCAGCTTAGGGATTCCAGCCTGATCCCAGAAGTCAGAGATAATTGGAGATAAGAGTGTGCTACTCAGATCACAGAGTTCCTTTATCCCAGGTATTGCAAAGCACCCCTCAGAATTGTGGAGCTGTAAGACCTCACAGGTATCATCCTACCCAGGCTTCTTACAAACTTCAGAATCTTTGTGAACATGTGCATTTTTTCTGAGATGATCTATTGATTTCACAAAATTCTTAGAGGTTTATGATTCTCACAAAAAATATAAAAATAAAATAACAACCAACAATTTAGTCCAAAACCCAGACTTAGAAAAAAAAAAACAAAATTCACAGTAATTTGTCTAGAAGAGATGATTACTTTAAAAAGCTCTTCAGAAAGAAATGCACTAGACAAAAATGTTTTCAGCTACTTCTGCTTCTGGAAAAGCTCCTCTACAGACCTATGTGAAATTTCTGAAGCACTTTAAATTCATGTACTTCAGTTATAATCTCTGTGGTGATGGATGGAAAAGAGCTGGGGAGAAGCTCCTTCACAGGAAGTCTTGAGGTCCGTTGCCATGTTACCAAGGAGTTTTCTTGTATCTGGACTAGTAGCCCTGCTTCTTTGATCTCTCCTTTTTCGTTTCATTTTTTTTTAACCCCCTAATCATTTTTATGGCTCTTTTCTGGGCTCTGCCTAATCTTGCTAGATCCCTCTTACACTACAGAGAGGGATCACAGTGTTTCCCTCCATGTCTAAGCAGGGCCGGATGTAGTGGACAGACCATTTCCTGCCTCAGGAATCTCACCCTTGCCTATTACATGGTCAGCCATCCACTGACTGCTGGACATTGCAGCATTGCAGTGTTGACTTCATTACCTGGCTGCTGTGGGGACTCATCACAACCATTTGAAGATAGGACCTTAAGGCACATATTCATTTTACTTTCACAGGTAAGGGCCCAGGGAGTTTAGGTCACTAATCAAAGTGGAGATGGAATTAAAATGATCTCCTAATTCCTGGAATCTCAGAATTATATTTACAAAGATTTAAAAAATCTCCACTGTTAGATCTGAAATTCTTGTGGGAACTTCTCATTTACCTCTTTTGTAAACTGGAAATACAGAATTCCCTGGCTTCCCTTTCTGTGGTTTGAGTTATCAAAAAGTCAACAATTATCTGAAAATATTAAATAAAAATTCCAGAAATAAACAGTTTGTATATTTAAAGTTGAATGCTATTCTGAGTAGAATGGTAAAATCACAAACCATCTCACTCTGTTCATCTTAGAGCATGAATCATCCCTTTGCCCAGTGTGTCCACACTGTATATACTACCTGCCTGTTTGTCACGTATTAGTCCCTTGGATTATCAAATCAACTGCACATCATTGCAGGCTTATGTTCAAGTAATCCTTATGTAATAGCCTCATACTGCCCATGTTATTTATCTTACTTCATCTCAACAGGTAGTTATTGTATCATTTCACATCATCACAAGAATATATGTGAGCAAAGTATAATAAGACATTTTGAGGGAGGGAGGAAGAGAGTGAATATTTATGTAACTTTTATTACAGTACTTGTTATAACTATTTTATTATTAATTTTTATTGTTAATTTTACTGTGCATTATTTATAGATCAAGTTTTATCAGAAAAAAAATTGTGTATATGGAGTTTAGCACACCCACCGGAGATTGTGGAAATACCCCTATGGAGGAAGGAGAACTGTATTAGTCTATTTTCCCCAGGATCGCACAGTTTCTAAAATCAATGTGCTCAGAGGATGGTAAAGAACACAGATGGCTTTGAGTCCTAGTACTTATTCTGTTGCTAATTTTTCTGTTTGATTTTGTTTTGTTCTTTTACTATGTGATGCAAAAATATTCAGACAGAAACCTCTGGTAAATTCATACAATTAAAAAGTTGATGAAAAACAAAGCAAATGTCTGATACTGTGAAAGCATTAAAACTTGGGACTTGTGGGCCACGTTTTTTATACATTTAAGTTTGGCTGGTATAGAAGTATGCCACATTTGAGAGATTGCAAATAACAATTCAGATAATGGCTTTTGTACAGTCCTTGCTTTAGGGCAACAGTCTGTAGGGACTGGCAGTACCACCCCCTGAAATGAAGGTTTGAGTTCTCTAATTTATCTTAGTCTCTACTCATTGAATTTTTGCTTCCTCTAATGTATGAGTAAGACATCTAGAACTTGGAAGAAACTGTTATAAAGTATAATCAAAGTATACATTTATAATTAGCTGAAAAAATATTAATACTGTGACTGTATAATTTGAAAGTGGTCAGAGAAAGAAAGTAATTTTTTTGTGCCTCTATTTCTCACATTTAAAATGAAGTCTACAAGAATGATCTTCATGATGACTTCAAGGTGGTTATAGGAATTGCTAAACTCCCTTCTGAAATTAACGAATAAAAGAAGGCCCAAGGAAGAACAGTTATACACTTAACTGAAAATCTGTGTGGTCCAGCTTGCCTCCAGTGATCCATGCAAGATACATCCTTCTAGCGATCTGTGATAAACAACATCCCACTAATAGCCCTCTGCATGATGATTAAGCCCTAAAACTGTAGCTTCTTTGTCATGTGCCCTATTAAAACTAAAGAGGCTATGGACCCCAAGATAGAGGGATGGCAAGAAAGAAATTTGCTGGGGGGCATAAATGTACTGAAGCAAAGTCTGTTTAAACTTCTGGGGCTTAAGTGATTTTAATGACTTCAGTCATATTGGCCAACACAGATTATTGCCAAAACAGCTGTTGGGCAAACCATGTTGAAATACTATTGAAGTTAAGTATTCTTAAGAAACAAAAATATTTACAGTTATTACCCATTGGAAATAACTCATATATCACATGTTCTTAAGATAAAAACAAAGTTTGATCCTGGCCTGTCAATTTACTATTTCCTTGATTTAGTTTAAGTTACTTAAATCTGTGTGTTTCAGTTTTCTCATTCAGTAAATTGGATATAATAATGGTACTGATTCCAAAATATTATTGAGAGGAATGAAACAATATACAAAGCACTTAGAACATATTAAATATTCAGTAAATATTGGGTATTATTATATTTTTTTATTTGAAAGATTTTCTAAATATTTGAAAGCCAAATTCTAGAAATATAAGAAAATATTACATTATAACACTTATTTATGTACAACTTTTTCTCACCCAAGCCTCAGTTTTAACTTCTAGAATCTATATAATCCTTATCATGTTTATTTACAGTCTATCCTTCTAAGTACCACAGGCAATGTCGTTAACACTATGAGCATGGAGGGGAACCATCTTTCCCAGGACTCTTCAAAATTGATCAAGTAGTTATACTTGAGTGGAAGGGGAAATTCACATTGGAGACATTGATTCTCTAGATTTGCTCCACTGGCCTGGTTGATGGATGGACCTCTCTTCATGAAGGCATCTGATTCATTGAAGGTCAGACAGAGTAGCTGGGCTGAGACTAACTTCTGGTTTTTCTGACTTCTGGTTTCTTTCCTTTGTTTATTATGAAGGGAAAAAAGAGAATTTTATAAAAAATAATTGAAAAATAAGCATTTTACCACCCAAGCTGCTTCATACAGTTTAAAACCAGCCATGCATTAAGTATAGAGCTCACATTCCTATACTTTTCATTCAAAGTACATGGAAGAAAGGAAAGGTAATGATGAACTTACCTGCCTATGCTCAGTGATTGGGATCACATCACATCACAAAGACTTGGGATTCTGAATTCTGTAAAACTCTCTGAATTTCTGCATGAAACTAGATATTCATTGCTTTTTCATAGTAAAGCTGACAATCCATTACCCTGGTCTTGGTTAAAGAACCCTTTTCTCAAGCTATATTTTTCAAGAAGGTGAAGCATTCGTTCATTATTTGATGCTCTGAAGTTCTCCTAGTTCAGCAGGATCCCAAAAGAAGAGCTCTCAGTAAAACATTAAAAATTTAAACTGCATGAGTGTCTTTGAGCCAAGTTTCCAGCTTACTAGCTTTTTGTTTATAGATCTGTAAAAGGGCGTAAGTAGGAAGTCTGAGCTTGTGGGAAATCTTATCTGTGAAGTTGCTTTCCAAATGTGTAGGTATGTTACATGGCTTTTGTGATATGCAAAGCTGTTCAAGTCAGTTTACTAGAGGCTTTCTTAAATTTGTCACAATATCAAGAAGGCTAGCTAAAAGTTGTGTTTGTGACCTTAGAGATGACAGCTTATAACATAATAAAAAAGTTCCGGGGGCTGGGGATGTGGCTCAAGCGGTAGCGCGCTCCTCTGGCATGCGTGCAGCCCGGGTTCGATCCTCAGCACCACGTACCAACAAAGATGTTGTGTCCACCGAGAACTAAAAACAAATAAATATTAAAAAATTCTCTCTCTCTCTCTCCTCTCTCTCCTCTCTCACTCTCTTTAAAAAAAAAAAAAAAGTTCCATTGGCATATTTTGAGCCTCTTGGAGTTTAAACATATTGCAGCATTAAAAACCCCGATATTTGGTTAGTTATTGAGACAAATTATCAAATGCTTTAAACTCTAATGGTATCTATGAATAAGTCCCATATTTCCCATCAACAAACTAGAGGTTTGTTCTCACCAAAAGTGGATCAGGAACAAACATTGAAAGCTATGTTTTTCCAAAACATGATTGCTCAGTTTATATTCATATACCTCAACCACTCAGATTAAATGACCTCTTTGTTATATAATCAATGGTCACTGATTAACTCATGCAAAATTTTAATGTTAGATGTGGCTGACTGCTGCTATGCTGTGGCTCTTAGGTAGGTGAATAGTGACCCCAGTCTTTTTGGTCCTGTTCAGATTAGCACTGGAAGTCTCAAGTCCCAGGAAGTCCCTCTCTAGAATATGAACAGTCTTGGTTTTCAAACATAAGTGTAGAAGATTAAGGGGTAAGTGTCAAAGTCAATGGTGCTGCCACACTAGGGGTTGATGCCACAATGTTTTTAGTTTTAGATGAATATGCTATTCCACATCTATCCTTCATAGTCCCTATTTTTTTCCCCACTCATTTTCCTCTGCTCACTGATGTTGGTAATTATGATTTGTAATTCACAGCAGTGGATGGGATTAAACTGTGTGAAGATCCTAAGTATGAATGTCAACAGCCTGTCTTTTATTTTGCCTGTGGATTAACTGCTTTTAATTGAGATGTGCTATGTTAACTTTAGAAATTGAAAATGTGATTTTAAAAATCCATTTCAGCATAACCTAGATATCATGAAAACAAAGTGCAACTAGATGAGACTGGTAAGGACAACACAGGCAAATATCCTAAAGATGTCCACATGACAGTCAGAAAACAGTATGGGGCTGGGTATGATTGTGAGGGTGATGCAAAAGCATACGTGGAGTGTGGGTATCCTAGTCGGGAGGAGACAGGTAAGTACTGAAGTTCAAGCAAAGATTTTTCATCTCCTAAAAAGAAACCAATGCTCAGCTGAAAAACAGAAGTTCCTGAATTTGCTTGAGCATACCACAGGAAAGGACACACATTATTGTGTCATTCCCTCATCTGCTCTATGAAAGTTAGTTTCTGAGGTCACAATTCATCCTATGAATCTAACCCCAGAAGAGAGAAATTTTTAGAGCAAATTAGAGAAATGATTCTTTGATATCTTTCTAGAATTCGTTCTTTCAACAGTATATTGATACTTCAAATCATAGCAACAAAAATATTCCCACTAGTTCTTGGGTATTTTGATTTGAAAAATGGAGTTTTAAAACATTTTGATTTCTATGAAGATTTCAGGATAAATGATTATCCTTTCAATAAACACAAAAGAGTGCTGATATCTTATCAAATACATGGTAGAATTTGCTTATCTATCTGCATATTCCATAAACAGTGCAAAGAGAAATTTTGATGAAGACCATTCTATCTGTAAGTTCTTCCCAAAATTAATGAAGATCTTACCACTAAATTTCCTAAGAACCATGCACAGAGCACTGCTGTAAGGAGTATGCTATCTTATCTATAGAACTGAATTATTCATAACAAAAGTTATTTATTACTTTTCAGTTTTCTCAAAGGGTGAAATATTTAATGATACACTTGACTTCATACACATGAAAGGAGGGGCTGGAGTTGTAGGGATAATATCACTTTGGACTGAGACCAAGCATCAGTGCAATGTGGGTCTGATAAGAGCAGAGCTGAAAATCAAAGTGAAATCTATGTTTATGTTAAATTCTACCACTACATAAAAGGAAAGAAGAATGCCTAAAGACTGCATTGGTTCAGAGGAATATTGTTGGAAAAGAACTAGAAAGAATAAAAACATCTTTGGACAAAGAGAAACTTGTCAATATTTTTACTAAATATGAGTAATCTCATTTAACTAGTTATAATTATATATTCTCTCTTAAGATTACATTAATGAATCTTAATAGTACACAATATCTACTTTTTTGTATGTAAGAGTATAAATGGGAGCATCGCTCAGTGGTAGAATGCTTGCCTAGTGTGCAAGAAGCTATGGGTTCAATCCCCAGCACCATAAAAAACAAAAAATAAAGCAAAACATATGTGATACAAAAAAACACACACAGAGGTCAATTGAATAGAATAGAAAGCCTATGAGTCCAACCACAACCATACATCTACAGCCAACTGAGTTTTAATGAAGGATTAAGAACATGCATTGGAGAAATGATTACCCTTTCAAAAAATGTAAAAATTAAATATCCATATTCATAAGAATGAAACTAGAACTCTCTCTCTCACACACACCACTTCCAAAAATCAACTCAAAATGGATTAATAATTTAAGTCTTGAACCTGCCAAACTCCTAAAATAAAATAGGAGAAACACTTCAGGACATTAGAATGGTCAAGGATTGTTTGGACAAGACCACAAAAGCACAGGAAACAAAGCAAAAACAGACAAATGGGATTATATCAAACTAAAAAACTTTGGCACTGCAAAAGAAACAATTGGCAGAAGTGAAACAATCAGCAGAATGGAAGACAATATTTGCAAATTATATATTTGATAAGGATTTGATACCCAGGGTATATAAGAAACTCCCAAAACTCAACAGCAAAGAAAAAAAGTAACTGATTGAAGAATGAGCAATAGACCTAAGTATATATTTCTCAAAAGAAGGCACACAGGTAGCTTACAGGCATATGAACAAACTGTTCATCAGGAAAGTGAAAATCTAAATCACAATAAAATATTCCCTTGCCCCGGTAAAAATGACTATTTTTAAAAAGACAAAACATAACACATGCTCACAACCATGTGGAGAAAAGGGAGCCCTCAACACTCTCATTAAGAATGTCAGTTATCAGATGGGCATGGTGGTGTATGCCTGTAATCCCAGCAGCTTGGGAGGCTGAGGCAGGAGGGTCACAAGTTCAAAGCCAGCCTCAGTAAAAGTGAGGTGCTAAGCAACTCTGTGAGACCCTGCCTCTAAATAAAATACAAAATAGGACTGGGGATGTGGCTCAGTGGTTGAGTGCCCCTGAGTTCAATCCTGTACCTCCCTCCCTCCCCGCCAAAAAGAAAAAGAATAGTCATTATGGAAAACAGTATAGAAGTTCCTCAAAAATTTAGAAATAGAACTGCCACATGATCCAGTAAGGCCATTAATGGGTATATATTCCCAAAGAAATGAAATCATTATGTAGAAGAGACATCTGTACTTCCATGTTTATTGCAGCATTATTCACAATTACTAGGAAATGGAAACAATCTAAGTGTTCATCAACTGATGAATGGATAAAGAAAATGTGGAAGATAAACAGAATGCAACACTATTCAGCCATTAAAAAAGATGAAATCTTCATACTGTGACAATATGAATGGAACTGAAGATCATTATGTTAAGTGAAATAAGCCAGGCACAGAAAGACAAGTATTGCATGAGCTGACTCATTTGTTGAATCTAAAAAAGTGGATTTTACATAGAAGTTGAGAGTAGAATGGTGATTACCAGAGGCTGGAGAGAGTAGGGGGGTGGGAGGTAAGACAAAGTTTCATTAATGAGTTCTAAGTTTAGTTAGGTATAAGAACTGTTGGTATGCTCTTGCACAACAGGGGACTATAGATGGTGATAATGTGCAGTGTATTTCAAAAGTTAGAAGACAGAAATTGAATGTTTTTACCATAAAAAAATGATAAATGTTTTGGGAGATAGATATGATCACACTGATTTTAACATTACATAATGTATGTATAAACCAAAACACCACATGGTACCCCATAAAAATGTGCAATTTTTGTTTCTGTGCATCTATTTATTATTTTTGTGGCACTGAGAATGGAACCCAGGGCCTCACATGTGCCAGGCAAGCAGTCTACCCTTGAACTATATCCCCAATCCTTTATGTATTTATCTAAAATGAATTTTGAATTTTGAGAAGTTAAGGGAAACTAGGAAAATGAAAAAGAGTACACACTACTATAGCCTATAAAATTTAAATATCTAAGTAAGTTTAGAAAGGTTAAAATAATTTGCTCTTTGGATGACCGAAACATAATATCAATTGTTTACACATATTATTTAATTAGTCCTACTGTAAATTACTCCTAATAGTTTACTATTAACTATTCCTATGATTTTGTATTTACAGAAAAAAGGTAAATGTTTCTATAATCTCAAGAAACATCTATTTTTCCTATTTTAATATTAAAATAATGACCCATATTATTTTGTATGTATATAATATGCACATATATAAAATATATGGATGTAGTAAAATAATACAATATTATTATTATTTCTTGCTTGATTTGACTCTGTCCCAAGTTGGCTTTCTAGAAAGATGTTCACTCCACTTTTTAGAAATGCAGTGGAGGAGTGGATACCACAAAGTGGTTACCAGGAATTGTTCACAATCATCCTTATTTTTCCCCCAGCTGTTTTTACTCTGGTAAAAACACTCTGGTGTTTCCAGCTTCCAACTCTTGGCCCTGATTCTGACGTGGACTTTGGCTTTGAGGATATTTTTATTATTTACTGTCTTGTGTATTTTATTTTCAGTTTCTATCTAACTTGGCTGGGATTTGTCCCTGTGACTCCTCTGCTTTAAGTGACTACAGAGGACATGCTGGAATCTTATGTAGCTCAACAGGAGCAAACTGTTCCCAGGACCTCTTCTTTGTTTTCTATTGAAATCCAGTCAAAGTACAAACAAGAGCTAACAATCCCATTAGGAACAGAAACTTTACACAGTGATTTCTGTACTTGTGATTTCTCAGTGTTCAGAATCTACTTTGGGACTAAACTAAAAATCAATAACTATCCCTAAATATCTGAGTCAAACAATGTAGCAAAATAATAAGCTCCAAACTATAGTTCTCTAAGTCTGTACAAATATCTATTACTTAAATATTTACAGTTTTGTAATCATATTCACTCTACTAATGGAGTCTTGTGCACATGCACACACACATACACACACAAACACACATAAAGAATAAATCTTGAAAAAAGTTAATTTTTGACTTTTTCTTAAAAGTCAATATTTATGTGCCTAATTAATTGATATTTCTATGTGAAAATTCTATTATTGATTTGTTGCCTAATGTAGGCACTGTGAAATATCAAATATATTTTCATTACTCATTACCACTAATAATCCTAATTAAGTAGAAACTTCTGGCTTTAGAAAAACAAATAATTAGTGTTGACAATGGAAGTGTAACTGAAGCATGATTAATGAAATTATTTATTAACCATTAACAGTATTAGGCTTCAAATTCGATGGGTATGTTTTATTACCTGTTAATGGCTGAGCATATATTTTATTATATAAGTCGTCTCATAAAGCTTATGGATAGGTTTTAATTTGAATTACCAAAAGATTCAGATATATTCTTCTTTTTTTATTCTTTTGAGATGGGATCTTTCTGTTTTGCCCACGATGACTTTGAATCACTGGGTTCCAGTCATCCTCCTATCTCTGTTTCCTGTGTGGTTGGGACTATAGCTATGCCCCATAAAGCCTTGCACAAGTATATATTTTTTTCAGATAACTGTTTAAAAATAGGAATAATATAGTACTAAAAAAGGAGAGTATTTTAAATATATTTTCAATCTTTGACCAAATCTGAGGAGAAATATAAATTATTGTAAAAATCTTTTGCATTGGAAAATCTTTGTGGAAGCTATTACTTAGTTGAAGGTTATTTTATAGTCTTTAAAAATAATAAAAATTTAAAATAAAAAGTTATTCTAAACAATAAATAAGACTCCAATGGGTAATTGTAATTCATAACAACAGCATTAATGTATTAAAATATATGTTTAAGTTACATATTAATTTTATAACTTTTTTCTTTTTTGGTACCAGGGATTGAACTCAGAGGCACTTGACCACTGAGCCACATCCCCAGCCCTATTTGGTATTTTATTTAGACACAGGGTCTCACTGAGTTGCTTAGTGCCTTGCTATTGTTGAGGCTGGCTTTGAACTTGAGATTCTCCTTGTCTCAACCTCTATTGCTGCTGGGATTACAAGTGTGCGCCTCCACGCCTGACAATAACTTTTGACTCATTGAGGACAAGGTCAATATCTTATTTATCTTTGGATCTTGCATAATGCTAATACTATGTAGAAAGAATAAGTGCTCATGTTGAAATACTTTTTCAAAAAATGCAAATGCTCCAAGTGGAAAAATAGCATGAAAAAAATATTTTGTTCAAGTTTTAAGGTTATAAAACAATTTCAATTTTTAGAAATAAAAATCTTATTTCAATATCAATTATCAGTTAATTCCATTAAAAATGTATATATAATGCATATTCCCATTGGGAAGTTTTATTCACTGGTTATCAGTTTTGTTCAGTTCTTCCTGTTTCAAATCACATCTTTACTATTACTCTTTCAATTTAGCTATATGGAATATAGCTTCAAATATAATACTTGGAAGTTCTTTGTTAGAAATGGTGTGCTATGAAGACTAATAACAAGTAAATTTTCTTTGATGTCTGTTTTTCCTTGTTTTATTTTGCACAGGGTCTTGAAAATTGTGGAGAACTTGCAATTCTACTGCTTTAGCCTCTTAGGTTGCTGTGGTAACAGTTCTGTGCTACTGCCCCATATTCCTCTTGTTTTTTTAAATGTAAGCTCTTTTTTTAAAAAAAGCTGGTGGTCACCGGATGGGGATTTATCACTTTAAATGATCTGAGTCTTCTCCAAATGATCTTAGTTCCCTTGCTTCAATTATTACCTAAGTGTTGGTATCCAATCTGGATCTCTAGCGAAGGTCTCAGAATCTTATTTATTTATTTATTTGGTACTGGGGATTGAACTCAGGAGTACTGGACCACCAAGCCACATCCCCAGCCCTATTTTGTGTTTTATATAGAGACATGGTCTCACTTAGTTGCTTAGTGCCTTGCTTTTGCTGAGGCTGGCTTTGAACTCGTAATCCTCCTGCCTCAGCCTCCCAAACTGCTGGGATTACAAGCCTGGGCCATGGTGCCCTGCCCAGAATCTTTTTTTTTTAATTGCTTAAGAGATATTAGATTTCTCTACTTTAATGTCTCATGGGAGCCTCAAAATTTGTACAAATGTAACTGAATTTATTATCATTACCCCATAGGTTGGATACATTGTCTACTTTTGATCAGTATTCAGGTCTATCTTCTTATGCTCCAACAACCCTTATTCTTATGATATTACATGAGTTATTAATCTAAGCACTACATTTTAAAGACACTTGGGACTAGTATCCTGTATGTATTTAAGGGTCTGTCAGTGAGATGCACTTATGAGCCCTGGGGAATATGGAAGTGATTCTTTTCTATAGTGATATGGGTAGAAGGAATAGCTCTAACAAACAAAAGTGTGGGAAGCTGGCACGTCTTATGCCATTGTCAGTGATGTTGGCTGCAGTGTCCCTTACCTCAGGGTGAAAACAGTGGTTCCTCATCTGTGAATCTTGTGTACCGTATCAATCACAGACTGATGTATTCCCCAAATTGCTTCTCACTGTGCAATTTCTCAACAACTACTTAAACCAGCCAATATGCAGATGATTCCCATATCTAATTCTCCACCATTGACCTTTGAACTTTTCTATGTTCCCACATCTCCATTTTCCTGTTAGATTGACTTAACTGACCCCAGTCACAAACTTGACACATCTAAAATAATCTTTTCTTTCAAAATCAATTTAAGATAATGATACTATTATTAATGAAACAATATAATCCTCCCAATTGAACTATTCTGTATCTGTTAATTGTAAACCCACATTTCTCCGAGCATTTAGGCTTGCTGTTCTAGATCATCATTCACTATTCTCTCTATTTTCTTGAATTTTCATTATTTTCTGTTTAGAGAACATATCATATTTTTTATTGAGTTATTGCAATAGCCTGTTAACTGGTATCCATATCTTTGGTCTCCCACTCTGTGATTTATTGCTGTGACTACATTAATCTTAAAATTCTACATTGAGTAACTCCTTTCGTCATAAACTTTCAATAATTTCCTACTATTTCTTTAATAAATTTCAAACATTTTAGCCTGACATTTAAACTGTCCATAATCTCTTTAATTTACTTTCACTATTCTTCTCTTTATTCTATGAAATAGTTAGGATGGAGTAGGTTATGCTGTAGTAATGAGCAGCTCCCCAACTCAGTGGTTTAAAGTTAAAAAATGTATATTACCTGTCTTTCAGACTCAGTTGGACCTCTGATCCACACTGCCCTTATACCCAGGCTGATGTTGCAACACTTCCAGTCCTTGTGGCTGAGGGTCAAGGAGCTCCAGTGGATCTTGACCTAGAATTAAAAGCTCTGGCCAGAAATAATCATGTGGTTAATCCCACCATTTCCCCGATTTCTCCTGTGAGGGAAGAGACAGAAATGCAATTAATACTCTTTTACTCGTTTTCTTTACCTTATGCTCCTGTCTCTTCACTTTCTGCTAAATTATTATTTTAATATGAAAGTTTCCCTGTCTGTGTACATTATAGCCATTCCTTTATATCCAGTTTTCATTCTCATTTTCGATTAAGGCTTCACAGATTAGCCAACTCACAATAATCTCTTCTCTTTTGCACCTTTTAGAATAATTACCTAATTATTGTAACATTTCTGCTTTGTTGCTTTATATTATCATTTACATTTAATAAATTTAGTGCTTTACCTCCTACTACAATAGTATAAAAGAAAGGGTTCCTTTCCTTCTTTCTGCCATCCACTGTAATTAGTACCCCACTCTTCATTCATAGGCTCTCAAGAATTTAAAAAAAAATTGATGAATATCTTGGAAATGGATAAAGCCTGATCAAATTTGTGAGGACTGAAAAGCAACTCTGAGGACCCCCAAAACTGATACTACAAAGTGTTTTCTCCTTTGAAAGTTAAATTGAAAATTTAAATAAATATCTAAAGTAGAACATATTTTAAGTGTAGTTACTTATTATTAACTTATTGACAAATGTCCAATAATTTCTGTATCAACACAATGCTAAAATATAAAGCATTTTAACTAGAGGAGTTATTCTCTCATTGATCATACAACTTTAGGCAGAAGCTTTGTGTTACATATTTATTGTTTTAAATTTTGTGTTAATTTGAATGATTAAAAATTTGTAGGAGCCAAGCATGGGGTATACACCTGTAGTTCCTGCTACTTGGGAGGCTGAGAAAATAGAATGGGTAATATAGTGAGAACTCATCTCAAAAATAAATAAATAAATAAATAAATAAATAAATAAATAAATAAATAAATAAATGTATTTCTTCTTATTTTATGCTCTACATGTCCCAAACTTTTAAATATTGCTGCACAAAATTATGAGAAACAGAAAAATTGCCAGCAACATAAAAATATGAGACTACTGCAATATTTTAAGGTTATACTTTAGGATCCTATATTGATTTGAAGATGAATTCCTCTACTTTATCCATTATGTCCTTGGGCATTTAGTACAGAGCAAAAAAGAAAGAAATACATTTGTACAGGGAGAGTAACTTAAGATACAAAGATTAGCAAAAGTGAACCAGACAGGCGGGACATTTGGGAATGCACAAACTATTGCTGGTGCATTTTTCGTTACTTAACAAAGTGGTTAAGGAGCGCATTGATCTTCAAAGGACAATAAATTGTGCATAGTCTGCAACCATCTCATCTTTATGCCTACAAACTGTGTGTTGTGCAGAATGAATTCTTCAGGAGACACTTGTTATGAAGAAAACCTCAGCATCAGCTTTCTGGTACTTACAATTATATCACATTGCAACAGTACAGATTGGTGTCCTTACTTTTTTCACTTGATAACGTTTTTAATTAAATATTAAATAGATAAGCCTGAGTAATAATATGATAATGTGTTTTGCATTAAAATGTGAATATGACAGTTTTATTTCAGTAAGTATTTACATAAACTGCCTTTCCAACATGTTCTTATTTTTAGCTCAATACCACTGATTGTTTAAAAATATTTGTCTTAACTGGAGAGTAGTTTCTCTAATTGGCTTTTGTAGCCACAGGTTCTGTATCATAAATTCAGTCAACCATGGACTGAAAATATTAAAAAAAAAAAACTCATTCATGCTGAGTATATAAAAACTTTTTCCTTGTCATTGTTTCCTCAATAATATGGTAAAACAACGATTTACATGGCATTCACCTTGCATTAGGCATTACAAGTAATCTTGAGATGATTAGAACTATGTGGGAGGATGTGCAGAGGTTGTATGAAATACTTATATCATTTTACTATAAGGGGCTTGAGCATCCATGGATTTGGTATCTGTGAAGGTCATGGATACTTTTTACTTATTTCTAGCTTCTTTTTAATTTTTTAAACTTTCTCCTTTTTGCTTCTTTACTTTCTTAACTTCTTGTTGAATTTATTGATTTCCTTCCTACGAATTGTGAGATTATATATTACCCTATTCCCAAGTGATTGAAGGATTTGCAGAATACTCATATCACCCTTCTCCTGAATTACAAGCTATTATTGTTCAGGGTGTTTATTCATTTTGGTATATTGCCCTTTTATATACTCAACGTTTTGATTAGACTTGCCCACATATGCTACATTTTTTGTTGTTTATTTTTCTTATTTTTTCTGCATCTCAGAAATTCAGCAGCGTATGATTTCCTTCTGAGACGAATTCTTTAAAATGTCCTATGCTGTGGATAATCAGTGTTAAACCTTTTCAGTTTTAACTGGATAGTTAGTTGTACTGGATTTACAATTATAAGCTGATAGTTTTCTTGTGTGTGTGACTGTGCATGTGACTGTAAGGTAGGAAGCAGACAGAAGATAGTATTCTACCATGTGCTCCAGAAATATGATGCCCAGCTGTGATGTTTTTCAAGTATGCAGTAATTTAAATTAAATTAATTATTAAAAATTTTATTGTAAACACATACCAATTTTCTACAAAATAAAGCAATATTTTCTCTTAAAAGAACTGAATGTGGCAAATGTTAGTAACTTATTAACACATTTGTAAATTTCAAAAAAAATAAAGAAAATAGAAGATTTTTCTCTATATGCTTTTTATTTTTTCCCCCAGAGGTCTATATAGAATAAATCTCCTGAAATTTTTATAGGAGGATTAGCCAAATAATGCTTTTTCTCATTTCTAAGAGCTTTAAACATACTTCTGACTGATATAGGGATATTGATTCAACCTTAGATCTCCTCTCCCTCTGAGTTTACCTTCTTCCCTTAATCGCACATCAGTGTCTACAGTTCTTATATCCATTTGTGAATTCCTCTCCTGCAAGCCCTCTCATCTATTGTTTCTTAATTACTCAGGTAGCTCTTTCATCCTGTTTGAGAAGATTCCCTTTTTCTTGGCACCTCCATAATCTGAATCTCAAAAGCCTGAATTCTGACGTGGACTGATTTCAGGGTTATAGACACTGTTACTGTGTCCCTATCCCTGGTGTCATCTGTGTAATTTCAAAAGATGCACAATTTGTGGTAGTTTATAGTATACACAGATATCTAATTTTCAGGATCTATGAATACAACCATCAATCTTAAGGTTTAAATAGCATATACTTTTTTTGTTAATTTATAACTGTGATAGATAAAGAAATAAAGATTTTTGATGTGAAGGCCAATTTGGTTTGATTCCCAGTTTATCTACTTGGCATTTTGCAATCATTGGCAGATGTCTTCAGCTGTTTGACTCTCAATTCTTTATAAAGTGAAGATTATGAAGCCTACCTCCCAGTGTTCTTGAGAATTCAATATGCTAAAATAGGGAATGCACATACTTATTATTAGACTTTTAGACTTAGAATATATAAAAGTGAATTCACTATTAGAACTTTTTTAAAAAGGGAGCATAAGTAGGTAATTTTTTCATAATCCTTAACTATTTTCAGTCACTATTCAATGAAATATTGATTTTTTTTAAGATTTAGGCTAAAAATTACTCAACCTCTTATCTTAGAAATAGATGGAGAGATTGTTTACACATAGTGGTTAAAAACAAAATTAGAAGCACAAAGCATAAAACTTGCATGCCTTTCTTCTGCCTTTAGTAGATTTGTTACCATAAACAAGTTGCTTAACTTCGCTATGCCTTGGTCTCCCCATCTGAAAACCCATGACAGACAGTTCTTATGTCACAGATTTGTTCTGAAGATTAAATGAGTTCATCTTTGCAAAGTGCTTAGAATATTTTATAAGGTTATGTTTGGGAGAAAATAAAAAGATACTTCCAAGGAAGAGTTAATGTCAGGTTATTTTTGTATGAAAAATGGCTTACTTTTTTTTTTGACTTAGTGGTCGGTCACTCTACTTGTATTCTAAACTCCTTAAACACTCTTCTCTCCTGTTTTGGCCCTTAGTTTCTCATCTTTCAGGTCTTCCCTTGAAAGTATTTTTCAGCTCTGTTTCTTGGATCTCAGAAAGAAGGTTAGGTGAAGACAGCATGTTCAAAGCCTATCTTTCTTTTAATCCTTAGGTGAGCTGCTAAGGTGAGGATTAAACTGTCAAGCTCACCCCAGAAGCCTTAGCTCTCAGCTCTATGCCTGACAATACCAAGAAACATTTCCTTTACTCAATAGCATAAGAGCTCCTTATTGTGATGCTAATGAGTGTAAATAAAGGAAGGATTTAGGATTCTCCAGTAGCCTTTCCATTCTTTAGGGCCATCTGAAATTTCCTCTAAATGTTTGATGATTTCCTCTTGTCACAGATAAGCAAAAAGGTTTATGGTTCCACTTGCCATCAACAACATGAACTTCCAGGAGAATTTCTTGCCCTCAGAAGGAGCCAATGGTTTTCATTCTTCGAGGAAAAAAAGAATAATTTTTCCCAACAGGAAAGTTAGTTTGCTGCACCATTTTTGAGATGCACAAATAGTTCACAAACAATCTCTCATCTTTCCAGTTGAGATTACCATGGCAAGCAGCTCCTATCTCTGAACCAGACTTCTGCTTTCTGGCAGCAGGTCTTTCTGAAGAGCCAGAGTACCTTGAGAAAACAGACATTAAGTCAGAATTTCCGAGGCTTGTTAGATAGAGTCCCAAAGTGGCTTTCTTATATGATCCAAGTGGCCTGATTATTTGCAGTTATTATTTGCTTCCCATTCATAAATGCCACTCAGCAGGAACCTCTCTCAAACTCCTGTCAAAGAGGCAGGATCCTTAGAGAGGAAGTGAAATAATGTTGATGGAATTCAGATAATATGCAAATCAAGCATTCTTTAGATCGATTTTCATCAACTATTTTATCATCATTGAATAAGAAGGACAAATGGGCACTAATGTCAACATCACCATTTCAGAATATAAATGGGTATAAATTCGATCAAATAAAACTTCATCATTACTATTCATAATCATGAAACATCCAGAGAGTAAAA